ATGATTAAATGAAGCATTTAGAGTGTTCAGTGTTTGTAGCAAAACCTGGAAACAGTCACGGAATCTCATTAGAGAGACCAAGATATTGGGGGAAACGAGGCGACAATAAAACAAGTGATAAATCAAACTCGGTTTTACGACAGCACTATAAAAATTCAAATGTCTAAGCTAGAGCAGGGAATCAATTGATAATGTTTCGTTTTGTCTTAGGTCACAGCATGTTGTGCTCTCTTTTGAAAAATTCATATAATAGTTTTATGTCGACTGTAAATGATATTTCCATCGTTGCTTTGACCTACTTTATATTTTTTTATTGAGCTGTAACGCTTTTCCACAATATTGTCTTCGGCTTGGGATGGGATATCGTTTAACCAAGGCAGTTCTGTTGACGCCAGCCCAATTAATCATGGCGGTGCATCATTTGAATGTCTATTAATACGATACACACACACCTTAAACAAATCGTTTTGCCAAGTCTTCAGCCCGTCCTGCTGGACTGGATTGTTTACGCGATTTCGATTTGCTGTCATTGTGATTGCGAGGCGCCAAATATTGATCATCAAAATGAGTATCGAGTTGCGTTTTTTTTATTACATTGTTGATGCCGTCAATCCGAAATGGTTTTCATATGGACTATGACATCATTCCACTCAAAATTGATTATCTCACTCATTCTCAATGACAATGCCGAATATATTTCGCTCCTTGCCGTTTGTTTCGATTCACATTGGTTGGCTATTGTTATTGAATTTTTTTCTTTCGGAACATACCAAAAGTTGTGTGAGTGTAAGTGATTGAGCGAAAATTCCACGTACAAAAACCTGGAGTGTGTAGTACTACAAGTGAGTGTTTGTGTGCGTGAATAAGATGGTCAATAAGCTTGCGCAACTATTTGACTATATGCGTATATATTCAACACACAATACGTATACAGAGCACCTCATCATTTGAAACCATACACTTGTGTAGGTCGAAGCATCATTTTGTCAAAATTCATTACGTATTCAACGATGATGATGATTTTTTTCTTCGGTTCTGTTTATGTTTACTTTTACCAACCAAAATCTGGATAATTTGCATATTTGAGCCATAACAATATGTTCAATTTTCGAATATTAATCATTCGATTAGATTGTCAAAACGGTCGTTCCATGGTAGAAATTGTGTTGAGTCGCAAGCCGTTCAAATTCTTTTTGTTAAAATCCACATCGAAATTGTCACTTGAGTGCATTTAATGAATTTTATACGCGCCTCTAATGAACGTGTTGAGAGATTTTGTCTGAATTGGAAACAGGTGATTGACTCTCATGTTTATTTCCCATTTGAAAATCAAAACAAATTGCTTGAAACACACAGTATTCCTCAACGATTATGTAGGTGATAAGCCGAGAAAGCCGATAGAAAGACGACTCGTAACTATCACATTTTATTCCCATTATAGTAATTGATTAAATGTGTGTATGTTTGCGACCAACATGTTTACAATACCGATTCCAAGTAAATAAAATGCTTTCGAGCTCTCCTTCTCGCCTTCTTTTCTCTCTCTCTCTCTCTCTCTCTCTCTCTCTCTCTCTCTCTCTCTTCCAAGCCGCGTTTAAGTGCAGCAAGTGCTTGAACCTGTACTGTTTCTGTTTTAATTTTTCAAATCAAAAACTGCATCGATTTACTAGCTCAGTTAAAACAAACATCACGCTCTCGCTGTTTATGAGCTCATTGTGTAAATGGTCAAACAACTTTATCATATCTGGTTGTGCGTTTGTGTGTGTATGTGTGTGTCGCGGCACCCAAGAATTCAGTCATTATTTAAATATAGATTTTATGCGGCTGCCTTCGTTCTATTCTGTTCTGTTCCTTTCTGCTCGGTTTGGTGTGGCCATTGGAATGATCGAATACAAACGAAAGCAAGCAAAGAAGAAAATGCACTTTTGATCCGATGATAAAATGTGAAATGCGATAATAATTCATTATCTAGACGTCGCTTTTTTTCTGCTGTTCTTCCACATTCTTCAACGTAAGCATCCACTTAATCGTTTCCATTGAAATTGTTGATGTATCAATTGTGAACAATTGTTCAACCGCTTTCGACTTGCAGACAACGCCCATCGCATCAATATTATTCGAAAGAATTATTTGTGGCTCCTCCATTCATAAATCTTTTTATACCGCAAACGTACGCTTTTGTTTTAATATTTTCTGCTTTTTTTCATGTTGTTTATAAAATATGCAATTTTCTTAAGCTGATTGTTTGAGCGATGCATCGCGCGGTGGTACGCGATAAATGCATCGAACGAATGCAACTCTGGCGCTGATGAGAGCATCACTTTTGGTTTTGGTTGGCTTATTACTTTAGAGAGCGAAGCGAATCGAACATTGTTGCACACTCTTCATCATGAATATGTTGACCTATTCGTCTTCGTGGAAAAAATTTCTTTTTTTTTCTCTCTATTTGAATGTTGAAATCTTTCTCGGCATCATAATTAAATTCATTTTGATTGTGTTAGCACTTTCCGACTTCAAATTTTTTGTTTACGCCAGATTCTCGTGTTTATTTTACTCGGTTGATGCATTTTTCCCGTCTTTCATGGCATTTCGTTGTTCGAATGTGGCTGCGTCAGCCGGAAATTCAATTGATCTATTTTTATGCAAGTCAAGCGTCGAAAGAGGAACGAACCGTCACGAATCTATCGAATAAAATTGTTGCTTTATCTTGCACCTTTTTTTTCTACACTCAAATCAACTTTGCTGTTTTATTATTCAAATAATTTCCTCTTAAAAATAATTTCGTTTGCGATTATAACTGTAAAAACAAGTGCAGCGAATGCAGCAATGAAAATTGACTCGTAATTTGCATACTTCAAGCCATCAAAATGTTAGTCTTTTTGTGAAATGAAAAATTGATGTAAATAATCGATGAATGCAGCACTCATCGGATGCAATGAACGGGAAAATTGAAGTAATCAACAGGCGCCAATTATGAAGATCACTATTTATTCACATTTTGCTGGCTCACATCGTAAAATTATGCAATTCTGTTTTCTATCACTGGTTACAGCTCAATAATTGAGTGAGAGAGAGTAAATTGACGGTTTCTCCGCCTAATTTACCGCTAATAGCTTCACACCATTCTGCTAAAAAAAAGGGGCAAAATTGTTCAAGAGCGAATCACAATCACTTCAGGGGTCATGTGTATGGCGACCAGGCAAATGGAGCTACTACCGAACTTCAATTACAATCTCTTTAAATAGGCAATTACAAAGTGAAACAATTTCTCGCCGGCAAATTGACGATATCAACTCACTTCGGTCGAATAGATTCGTGCATTCTATGCAGTAATTGACTAATTGATAGGCCAATTGAAACGGTCATTCGTCTTTGTGCCGTTGAATTCGATTTCGATCACTTTCCATTTTAAAGTGAATGAATCATGCATGTATGGCATCTCACCGGTAGCGGAGTGTCAAAAAATTGTTTTTTCGTTAAAAAAAAAACGCTTCAGTCTGATATGCTTCAAAGCGTCATCATAAAGAATGTGTTATCAAACACACGAATGAATAGGTGTGTGACAATTATTTTACAACCTGCTTTCAAATAAATACCGAGATAATAAAGCGCAAGAGTATAGACTTTTCGAGATAAAAATGAGTTATGTAAGTGATTTTCAGTCGTTGTTCGTGACAAACCAACGGCGAAGACCTTCAATTTTATCTGCGAAATGAACAATCGATACATGAATATCATCAGACACGGGCAATGTCATACGTATTCTTTTGATTAATTGCTCAGTTGCCGCTGATTTTGTATGCAATTTACAGGAATATAAGTAACAATGCAGTGAAGTCATGTTTATTTTTTTCATTCGCTCAGCAGAAAAAACTCTACTGATTATGGTAGGTTGATGTGAAAACTAGCTGCTCTCGCACACAAGCATCGATTTTTAGAGCTAGTTGACTCACGTTTCTTTATTGCTTGTTTATCGTTGTTTAGTTAACTTCGTTAAGATGCAGCTATATGTAACCGAATGTATAGTGAAAAATACGTGAGGAAGAAAACATTCCAACTAATCAGAGAAAGAGCGAGAGAGAGAGAGAAGCGGCGACATTTCACATTTGGTTTATTTTTGTGTAGCTATTTTCAGATCAATTCAAATGTGTTCTCTTGTTATTTTCACTGTTCTGTTGTTCTTCGAATGTGGAGAGTTGAAAAAAAAACAAAACGATTCAATTTTCAAGATCGTTGTGTGAAACTCGAAATCATCGATGTTCATGTTTTTTTTTGTCTAACGGCGAATCAAAGCTTTGCATCGCAATTTTGTCAACCCTGATTCTGTTTGATCGAAATTCATCAATCTGTCCCTTTTGTTCGATCTCTCTCTCTCATTCTCTTTATCTATCTAAATTTCAATTAACTGTGACCTTTAATCTAAACAGTTATTTTGAAATGCTTCACCGAGCAAATAGAATCCCACCTACAATCCGGAATGTTTTATTAAATTCAGTGCACACAAAACATATATATTCATTGTCATGTTTGATGTGTATGTGTGTGTGGCTCTGTGTGTGACACAATTTGAATATATGCAGATTGTTTCCATGCGATAAGAATTTGAAAATGAAGCAAAATTGAACAACTGAAGATGTATCACAATGGCAAACAAATATACGAACGAATTGTTACCGAGTCAAAATCAATAGAAAGAGCTGGTGCTGCGGCGCCAAGCGAATGCGACGACCGAATGTGGTTCAGCAAAGAAAACGTTGGCAAAAAAGGGTTATTGAGTTTTGTTGCGTGCTAGTATTGATTTTATGTAAAACTTTTCTATCAGCCAGCTTGTCGAGTATGTGTGTATGTGCTTCCACGACAAGGGTATTTAGTTCACCAAACGACAGAAAGACATTGATTTGATGTTTTTCGCGCTTGTCATCGGAAATGTTGACAATGTATTAATTTCCGGTTCAGCAACAAAAAACTAATTCGTTCATTTTTTTTTGTTCTCATTTCAGACTGCAGTAACAAAAACTGCCTATGAACTAATACACGAATTGGATTTTTAACCAAAAAAAAAACAAGCATAGATACTGAAACCAAACCGACAAAATGACGACCGATATATCTGTAGTGCGTTGGGATCCGAGTCAGGGACCCGGCAGCGAATATATTGATGAATACGAATACGATGGTGGCAACTCAAGTTCACGTCTTTTCGAACGATCGCGTATTAAGGCGTTGGCAGGTAAATTAAAATGATATACCCATAAATATACCTATTATATGTTTTTTTTACTTTCTATCGATTACTGCGTTATCACATTAGTTGAAAATACTCATCTATCCGTTTTTCTAACTCATTTTCTATTCTCATCCAATCGCCCCCACCATACAGAGGAACGTGAGACAGTACAAAAGAAAACCTTCACAAAATGGGTGAATTCGCATTTGGTACGTGTGAATGCACGCATTGGAGATTTGTACGTTGATATGCGAGACGGTAAACATTTGATCAAATTGCTGGAAGTGTTATCTGGTGAACGTCTTCCGAAACCGACAAAAGGCAAAATGCGTATACATTGTTTGGAAAATGTAGATAAAGCATTGCAATTTTTGCGCGAGCAGCGTGTCCATTTAGAGAATATCGGTTCGCATGATATCGTCGATGGCAATGCGAGTTTGAATTTAGGTCTCATTTGGACCATTATCCTGCGATTCCAAATCCAAGATATCACCATCGAAGAGGTTGATAACAAAGAAACCAAATCAGCTAAAGACGCCCTGTTGCTGTGGTGTCAAATGAAAACGGCCGGTTATCAAAATGTGAATGTGCGCAATTTCACCACATCATGGCGTGATGGATTAGCATTCAATGCAATTATTCACAAGCATCGACCCGATTTGATTCAATTCGAAAAATTGACGAAAAACAATCCAATTCACAATTTGAACAATGCATTCGACGTGGCCGAAGACAAATTGGGCTTGACTAAATTGCTTGACGCTGAAGATGTGTTCGTTGAACATCCCGATGAGAAATCGATCATCACGTATGTTGTCACCTACTATCACTACTTCAGCAAATTGAAGCAAGAGACTGTGCAGGGCAAACGTATCGGTAAAGTGGTTGGCATCGCCATGGAGAACGATAAAATGATCAACGATTATGAGAGCTTTACCAGCGATTTGTTGAACTGGATCGAAACAACGATTGTTTCGTTGGGTGATCGTGAATTTGCCAACTCATTGAGTGGAGTGCAACAACAGCTATCACAGTTTGCAAACTATCGTACAGTTGAAAAACCACCGAAATTCGTTGAAAAGGGCAACTTGGAAGTGTTGCTGTTCACTTTGCAATCGAAAATGCGAGCCAACAATCAGAAACCGTACACACCGAAAGAAGGTCGAATGATTTCTGACATCAATAAAGCATGGGAACGCCTGGAGAAGGCCGAACATGAACGTGAATTGGCACTGCGCGAAGAGTTGATCCGTCAAGAGAAACTCGAACAACTTGCTGCCCGTTTCAATCGTAAAGCATCGATGCGAGAGACTTGGTTATCGGAGAATCAACGACTTGTTAGCCAAGACAACTTTGGTTTTGATTTGGCCGCTGTTGAGGCAGCCGCTAAGAAGCATGAAGCCATCGAAACCGATATCTTTGCATACGAAGAACGTGTTCAAGCCGTTGTTGCTGTGTCCGATGAATTGGAATCGGAACGCTATCATGACATTGAACGAATTGCAGCACGCAAAGACAACGTACTCCGTTTGTGGAACTACTTGCTGGAATTGCTTCGTGCACGCCGATCACGCTTAGAATTATCGCTTCAATTGCAACAGAATTTCCAAGAGATGCTCTACATTTTGGACAACATGGAGGATATCAAGCAACGTTTGCTGACCGATGACTATGGCCGACATTTGATGGGTGTCGAAGATTTGTTGCAGAAACATGCTTTGGTTGAAGCCGACATCAACGTATTGGGCGAACGCGTAAAGAGCGTGGTTCAGAATTCACAACGATTCCTTGGCGATGATGCTGACGGTTATAAACCATGCGATGTGGCGATCATTGTTGATCGTGTTCAACAATTGGAAGATGCTTACGCTGAATTGGTGCGTTTGGCCGTCGAACGTCGTTCACGACTCGAAGAAAGTCGTAAATTGTGGCAATTCTATTGGGATACAGCCGATGAGGAAAATTGGATCAAGGAGAAAGAGCAGATCGTATCGACCGAAGATATTGGTCATGATTTGACCACCATCAATTTGCTGTTGTCAAAACACAAGGCTCTCGAGTCGGAGATTCAATCGCATGATGCACAATTGCAATCGGTTGCCCGGGTTGGCGACGAGCTCATCAGCGAAGGTCACTTTGGTTCTGAACGCATCAAGGAGCGTCTCAAGGAAATTTTGGCAATGTGGAATCATTTGCTCGATTTGACAAAATACCGTCGTCAGCGTTTGGAAAATGCCGTTGGCTACTTCCAATTGTTCGCCGATGCCGATGATATCGATCAATGGATGTTGGATGAATTGCGTCTCGTGTCGTCCGAAGATGTTGGCAAAGATGAATCGCATGCCCATTCATTGCTTAAGAAACACAAAGATGTTGCCGATGAACTCAAGAACTACGCTGAAACCATCGACCAATTACACTTACAAGCCGAAGGGCTCACACTCACCGATGATGAACAACGCAATGTATCGGTACGTCTCACCTCGATCGATGAACGCTACAAGCAACTTATGGAATTATCGAAATTGCGTAAGCTTCGTTTGTTGGACGCTTTGAGTTTGTACAAACTGATGTCAGAAGCCGATGGCGTCGAGCAATGGATCGGCGAAAAGGAGAAGATGTTGGACACAATGTCACCAGGCAAAGATATTGAAGATGTTGAAATCTTGAAGCATCGTTACGATGGTTTCGACAAGGAAATGAATGCGAATGCATCTCGTGTGGCCGTTGTCAATCAATTGGCCCATCAATTGTTGAACCAATTCAGCAGCGTTGATCATCCAAATTCGGAGCAAATCACCGAAAGACAGAAGCATTTGAACGAAGAATGGTCTCGTTTGCGTGACAAGGCCGATGCTAAACGCGATCAACTCAATTCAGCCCATGGCGTGCAAACATTCTACATCGAATGCCGTGAAACCATTTCATGGATTGAAGACAAGAAACGTATTCTCAATGAAACCGATAACCTTCAAATGGATTTGACCGGTGTGATGACATTGCAACGTCGTTTGAGTGGTATGGAACGCGATTTGGCCGCCATTCAAGCCAAACTCACCGCATTGGAGAAGGAAGCCGATGCCATTGAGGGCGAACATCCAGAAGAGGCAGCTGTGATTCGTGAACGTATCGCACAAATTACATTAATTTGGGAACAATTGACACAAATGCTGAAGGATCGTGACTCGAAACTCGAGGAAGCTGGCGATTTGCATCGTTTCTTGCGTGACTTGGATCACTTCCAAGCCTGGTTGACCAAGACACAAACCGATGTTGCATCCGAAGATCCACCAGATTCATTGCCCGAAGCCGAGAAACTGCTCAATCAACACCAGAGCATTCGTGAAGAGATCGACAATTACACCGATGACTACAAGAATATGATGGAATACGGTGAACGTTTGACATCGGATCCAACACAAAACGAAGATCCACAGTACATGTTCTTGCGTGAACGTTTAAAGGCATTGAAAGATGGATGGGAAGAGTTGCAACAAATGTGGGAAAATCGCCAAGTGTTGTTGTCACAAAGTTTGGATGCGCAATTATTCAACCGTGACGCTCGTCAGGCTGAAGTTTTGTTGAGCCAACAAGAGCACTTCCTCAGCAAAGATGATACTCCGGTCAATTTGGAACAAGCTGAAAATCAATTGAAACGCCACGAAGCATTCATGACCACAATGGAAGCCAACGACGATAAGATCAATCAAATCGTTCAAGTGGCCGACACTTTGGTTGAAAAGGAACATTATGACGCTGATAAGATTAACAAACGCGCCCAGAATGTCAACGAACGTCGTGATTCGAATCGCGAACGCGCCCACGATCAACATGAGAAACTCAAGAATCAAGTGAAATTGCACGAATTCCTTCAAGATTTGGAAGAGCTCACCGAATGGGTACAAGAGAAGTACATCATTTCCGAGGATGAGACATACCGTAGCGCAAAGACCATCCACTCGAAATGGACACGCCATCAAGCATTCGAAGCCGAAATTGCGGCCAACAAACAACGTTTGCATGATGCTGAACAAGCCGCCAAGGAGCTCATGACCGAAAAACCAGAATTCAAAGAAATCATCGAACCAAAATTGAAAGATCTATCGAAATCATTTGAAGACTTGGAGAAAAATACAAAAGACAAAGGCGCCCTATTGTTCGATGCCAATCGTGAAGTATTGGTTCACCAAACATGTGACGATATCGATTCGTACATTACCGATTTGGAGAAACAGATCATTTCTGCTGACACTGGCAACGATTTGACATCGGTCAACATTTTGATGCAAAAACAACAGACAATTCAACATCAAATGGAAATTAAGACGCGTCAAGTGAAAGAAATGGAGAAACAGACCGAATTCTTGAAGAAAACAATTCCAGCCGAACAACATGAGCCAATTATCCAGAAGAAGACCGCCGTTACCCAACGTTTCGAGCAAATCAAGGCTCCATTGTTGGAGCGTCAAAAGCAATTGGAAAAGAAGAAGGAAGCCTTCCAATTCGTACGCGATGTTGAAGATGAGAAACTGTGGATCGATGAGAAATTGCCGGTGGTGCAATCCGATGAATTCGGAAATTCATTGTTCAATGTTAACGTACTCAAGAAGAAGAGTCATACATTGGCCACCGAAATCGATAATCACGAGCCACTAATCAACACCATTTGCAATAATGGCCAGAAATTGATCGACGAAGGTCATGAAGATGCACCGAAATTCGCTGAGCTCATCCCAGAGCTCACCCGAAAGTGGCAAGCACTCAAAGATGCCGTTGATGAACGACGCAAGAAACTCGATCAATCGGAACGTGTACAACAATACTTCTTCGATGCGGCCGAAGCGGAGGCATGGATGAGCGAACAAGAGCTGTACATGATGGTCGAAGATCGTGGCAAAGACGAAATCACCGCACAAAATTTGATGAAAAAACACGAAAATTTGGAACAATCCGTTGAAGACTATGCTGAAACGATTCGTACACTCGGTGAAACTGCCCGTCAACTAACGGCCGATGGCATTCCATACACTGATTCCGTGGCCGTTAAACAATCACAATTGGACAAATTGTATGCTGGCTTAAAAGATTTGGCCGGCGAACGTCGTGCTCGTCTCGATGAAGCCTTGCAACTGTTCATGCTTAACCGTGAAGTCGAAGATTTGGAACAATGGATCGCAGAACGTGAACTTGTCGCTGCATCACAAGAGCTGGGACAAGACTACGATCATGTCACTTTGTTGTGGGAACGATTCAAGGAGTTTGCCAAGGATACGGCTACAGTCGGTGGCGAACGTGTTGCTCGTGCTAACGGCGTTGCCGATGACCTCATTCATGCTGGCCACTCAGACAGTGCCACAATTGCCGAATGGAAAGACGGTAAGCGTATTTTTTTTGGGCATTTTTCTTTCTCTTTTTGGAATTGAATCGTAATGTTTTGATTTATTTCATTTTCAGGCTTAAACGAATCATGGCAAGATCTATTGGAGCTCATCGACACCCGTTCACAAATGCTCGTTGCATCACGTGAATTGCATAAATTCTTCCACGATTGCAAGGATGTGTTGGGCCGTATTCTCGAGAAGCAACACGGTGTTTCCGATGAATTGGGCCGTGATGCAGGCACCGTATCCGCATTGCAGCGCAAACACAACAATTTCATTCAAGATTTGCTGACACTCTACTCACAAGTGCAACAGATTCAAGAGGAATCGATTAAATTGCAGGCCGCCTATGCCGGCGACAAAGCCAAGGAAATCACAAATCGCGAACAAGAAGTATTGCAAGCATGGGCCAATCTACAAGGAATGTGCGAAACACGCAAACAAAAACTATCCGACACGGGCGATCTCTTCAAATTCTTCAACATGGTGCGTACACTCATGCTCTGGATGGAGGATGTTGTGCGCCAAATGAACACATCGGAGAAACCACGCGATGTGTCCGGCGTTGAATTGCTAATGAACAATCATCAAAGTTTGAAAGCCGAAATCGATACGAGAGAAGACAATTTTTCGGCCTGCTTGTCACTTGGCAAGGTAAAGATGAAAATATTTCGGAATTTGTTGACGAAATCGTTGGAAAAATTATTAAATTTCCATTTCTTTCATAGAATTGTGAATTTATCTGATTTTAAATAACTTATTGACTTAATTTAATTTTTCCTATTAGGAACTTTTGGCCAGAAATCATTATGCATCTTCAGATATTAAAGACCGCTTGCTTCAGTTGACCAGCAGCCGATCAGCACTGCTCGACCGATGGGATGAACGCTGGGAAAATCTGCAACTCAGTAAATCAACTCATTTTAAAACTCACTTTTTGTTTTTTCCGTGCCACTCCAAATTTACCACCATTTTCTCCCTTTTCAAACAGTTTTGGAAGTGTATCAATTCGCACGCGATGCTGCAGTTGCAGAAGCATGGCTTATTGCCCAAGAGCCATACCTTATGTCATCCGAACTGGGTCATACTATTGATGAGGTAGAGAATTTGATCAAGAAACATGAAGCATTCGAAAAATCAGCAGCTGCCCAAGAAGAACGTTTCATTGCTTTGCGCCGATTAACTACAGTGAGTCATTTCTCTTGCATTCGATTGATTCAATCAAATTCATTTGCAAATTTTCATGTCAAAAACGTTTGAAAAATCTTTTTTCATTCAGTTTGAGCTCAAGGAAATTAAGAGACGTCAAGATGCAGCTGAAGAGGCCGAACGTAAGCGACTTCAACAGGAGCAAGAGGAGCGTGCAGCCGCTGAGGCACAAGCCGAAGCTGCTCGTTTGGCTGAGACAAGAGATTTACATGATGCTCCTGGATCACCAACTCGTGAAGCAGGTAAATTCATCGCATTTCATTCGATTTTCCCATCTTTTCTCTCTCTCTCTGTATTCACACACTCTGCTGGCCTTTTGAAATAGAAATAACAAAATCGGTTCAGGGCGAATCATTTTATCTCTTTCGCATAAACAACACAAAGTTATTTCCAATTCATTTATTTCACAATCAAATAATTCTAAGGACATTTATTGAAAAAAAAAAACAAATTTATTTAAAAATTAAATTTTTTGGTAAATACGGTAAACTAACTGGTATATTGGAATTCATTTTCATGCTGCCCACTTTTTAAATACTCGATTGAAAATCATTTACGCGCTTGTAAATTTGCAAACGATTTTCGCGATAAATAAAAACTCCTTCGCGTCTAATCAAAATTCAAAATTAACCGTAAATTCATAAACAAAAATGGAACAGTTGTGGTTGCAACTGTTTCGCCCGTGGCTGAAGGACCTAGCTCTCAAGGTATATTTTTGGTGAAAACTTTCACAAAAAAAAAATCAAAAACAAACGCTTTCGGTTTTTTTTCTTCTTTTAATGGCACTAGATAGAGAATTCGTTCGCAATTTAGTTGTTAGATCATAAAATATGGCTTTTGAGTTCTTTGGTTCATCTTTGCTTTGTCTCGCTCTTTACCTCTCTCTCATTTCCTCAGTCTGTCACTGTTTTTTGTTCGAAACATCTCACTGTGTGTTCCCATTTGATGGTGTTTTGATCTCACTCATAAAGATCTCATTTACAAATTGTTTGGTGTGGGTTAAACAGTAATTTTAAGCAAATATAATGGGAATGTTCTTCCATTTTTGGCATAAACATAATAATTCACCTATAGAATAACGACGTGCACATTTTATATGTGTGCAATTGCACATAAAATCTTACTCAATCTAGACGCATAACATTTAGTCAAACTAATTTCATTCATATTGGTTGACGGGATCTGTCAGTACTCATTGAATAATCCATTGATATATTCATCCAACAACAACAACAAATTATTATCGACCATAAATTTTTCATCTAATGAAAACGTTCTTTTTGCAAATTCACCAATATCTCTGCTTGATGTTCAAAAACGATAAAAATTTACACCTTTATCGATTGATTGAATGAACAAAAAAAAAACATTTCAAACAACCAAAACACATTCACAAAATAAAAAAAATCATTAGAGGGTGGATTCGAATCGAGACGTTCAACTCCATTTGCATCGGGATCATCTTCACGAACACCGGGTAGTGGTGGTTCATTGAAAATTGGCCGCCGTTCTGGCGAACGATCAAAAAGTCCATTCCGTAGTTTCAGGTGGAAACGCGGCACTTCACGCAACATTGAGCTTGAGTACGATGAAGAAGGTAACACAAACAAAAGCATCAACCAAACAAACAAACAAACAAACCACATTTACTACCGTAAACTCTGCGTCATTTTTAAAGATAGCAATATGTTTTATTCTGGGGGACAGAGATATTTAAAATATAAAATACTGATATGGTATGGAAACGATCTACAAGACTTCATTGCCTTGTATTTGACACACCTCATTCACACATTGGTTCAATCAAAAATACGTCGAATATTTATAAGTTCACTCCAATTGAATCACTCATACATGATATGTTCAATAACAAATCATATTCCCTAGTGGCTGTAGACGTTTATCTAATTGCATGCAAAGTTGCATTCGCCTAATTTTCACTGTTTATCGCCAACAATTTTCAATATCCCAATCAAAACCAATTTTTTTTTTTCGTTAAGGTTTCTTTTTGCAGCTTTATGAACAAAACACCAACCAAAAACGGGGAACATTTCTCTATAAATACAAAAAATAAACACAGTTTCGATTCTCATTTTATCAATGAATCTTCCAATTTTTCAAGTGGAAATTATCCAATCCATAATTCCGCTTTTTTATTACATATTTTTCGAATTTGATTTTAAATTTTTTATTACATTTGCGCAGATTTAAGTCTTTTTTTCCACGCTCTGAAATTTAACGTTGATTTGATTTCTAACGTATTGCATTTGTACGCAACGATTAGGTGCCCAAGGTGATGCTAGTGGCGTTGAAGGTGTTTTAATTCGCAAACACGATTGGGAAAGTACGACCAAGAAAGCAGCTAACCGTTCATGGGATAAGGTAAGTACAAAACTACCACAAACTCGATTATTCTTTTTGGAAAGAGACGAAAATTTAATTTAAATTGTTTCAATCAGGTTTATATTGTGGCTCGTAACTCCCGGTTAACGTTCTTCAAAGATCAGAAAGCATCAAAGGCTTTGCCAGAAGCAACGTTCCGCGGCGAACTACCGTTAATATTGGATGGCGCAAGCGTTGATGTAGCCAATGACTATAAGAAACGAAAACATGTGTTCAGAATAAAGTGAGTATGGTGTCTGATGTGATTTTGTTATTGAAGATTTTATATACAGAAATTAAATTCAAAGAAGATTTTCTAAAAAAAAATGAATTTGAAAAAAATCAGGAGAAAATCATTCATTCGATATGAATTGTCCTAACTAAAATATCCTCTCCGTAGGTTTGTCAATGGCAGCGAATTTTTGTTACAAGCGCACGATGATGCCGAATTACAGCAGTGGGTCAGCGCATTGAAGGCACAATGTCAAACCGCATCGGGAAGCGAAAGCCGTTCACAGACATTGCCCGCATCATCACAGCAAAAAGATGAGACCAAAAAGAAATCATTCTTTACACTGAAGAAAAAGTAAATATCCCAATTTAAAAAAAAAGAAACCAAGCAAACCAGCCAATTTTCACTTTTGCATTTCTATATTGCATTATTTCTACAAGCAAACAATTCTTTAAACAAAACAATGAAGAAATACTAAATTAAATTAAAACACAATGTGCTTGTCAAAGTAAACATCACACACCGACACTCTCACGAGTCACTAGATTTATTTGTGGATAAAAAGAAGAAAAAATTAACAAAGCCAAAAGAAAAAACAGTGACCAAATACAAAACACTGTTGTTGCATATATGGCATGATGATCGTAATTA